CCAGTATCAAACCAACGGGTTGGGCGGACCAGTATCAAACCCCAAACGGGTTGGGCAAACCAGTATCAAACCGGGTTGGGCGGAACAGTATCAAGCCCCAACAGATTGGGCAAACCACAAACGGATTGGCGAACCAGTATCAAACCCCAAATGGGTTGGGCGGAACAGTATCAAACCCCAAACCAATATCAAACCTCAAACGGGTTGGGCAAACCAGTATCAAACCGGGTTGGGCGGACCAGTACTTGAAAAAAGAACCGAACCCCCCCAAACCCGTTGGGCCAACCAATACTTAAAAAAACCCAGCCCCCCTCCCAGACCCGTTGGGCGAACCAGTACTTAAAAAACCCGAACTCCCCGTTGGGCGAACCAGTACTTAAAAAAACCCGACCCCCCCAGACCTGGGCGACAACTGAGACAACAACTGAGACAAGTGAGACTCCCTATAAGGTTCCTACATGGTTCCTACAGGTTCCTACCAATTCCTATCAGTTCCTATAAGTTCCTATAAGCATGCAAAAAAAAACGAACCCCTCCCCCAGACCCGTTGGGCGAGCCAGTGCTTAAAAAACCGACAGCCCCCCCAGACCCGTTGGGCGAGGCAGTACTTAAAAAAACCGACAGCCCCCCAAACCCGTTGGGCGAGGCAGTACTTAAAAACCGACAGCCCCCCCAAACCCGTTGGGCGGACCAATACTAAGCCAAAACCCCCGGGCCCGCTGGGCGAGCCAGTACTTAAAAACCCGAACCCATAATCAAGCATAAAAACAAGCAAAAACGAGCAAAACCCAGCCAGCGGAAGGGTGCAATCAGGGTGCAATTTGGGTCAATCAGGGTGCAAAAGGGCGCAACCCCAAAATCGTGCAAAAACAACCAAAATCGGGTACAAGAGGGGTACAACTCAAAAGGCTCTCAAAACGTCGGCCTGCCGAACCCCCCAGACCCGTTGGGCAAACCAGTACTTAAAACAAAACCCCTGAGACTCGTTGGGCGAACCAGTACTTAAAAAAAAACAGCCCCCTCCCAGACGCGTTGGGCGAGTCAGTACTAAAAAAAAACGAATGCCTCCCGGACCCGTTGGGCGAACCAGTACTTAAAAAACCCAGCCCCCCTCCCAGACCAGTTGGGGTGGAACCAGTACTAAAAAAAACGAACCCCCCCAAACCCGTTGGGTGAGTCAGTACTTAAAAAACGAATCCCCCCGGACCCGTGGCGGACACCTCCACTCACTCTCCACTGACTCTGCTCTCAAAACGGGCCTCGACCCCTTTTGCACCTCCTCTTTTGCCTGATTTTGTATGTTTTGTTGCTTGATAGGGAATTGCTTGTTCACGATTGTCCACACTCCCTTCCTCTTTTGCCCGTGTTTGCCTGTTTTTGCACGATTTTGCGGTTGCACCCTTTTGCACCCTGATTGCACCCTGATTGCACCCTAATTGCACCCTGATTGCACCCTTCCGCTGGCTGGGTTTTGCTCGTTTTTGCTTGTTGTTTGCTTGTTTTTGCTTGAGTCCACATTTGTTTGCACGTTTTTGCTTGTTTTTGTGTGATTTTGAACGCTTTTGAGGCCTCCAAACAGGGTACTAAATTACCCGGTTTCGGGTGGGGGGGGGGGGGGTCGATGGTCCGGGGGGGGGGTGTCTCCCTCTCCCTCAGCAGTTGTCACCCCCCCGGGCAGACCAGTACCCAGCCCAACTTCCACCCCGTTGGGCAGACCAGTACCCAGCCCAACTTCCACCACCCCGTTGGGCAGACCAGTACTTTAAAACAAAACGAATCCCCTGCGGAGCAGACCAGTACTTTAAAAAAAAAACGAAACCCCTCCAGACCCGTTGGGCGAACCAGTACTTTAAAAAAAAAACGAATCCCATCCTCTACCTGTTGGAGCAGACCAGTGCTTGAAAAAAAACATCCGAAACCCCTCCAGACCCGTTGGGCGAACCAGTACTTAAAACAAACCCCCCGAGACCCGTTGGGCGAACCAGTACTTTAAAAAAAAACGAACCCTCCCCCAAGACCCGTTGGGCGAACCAGTACTTTAAAAAAAAAAAACAGCCCCCCTCCCAGACCCGTTGGGCGAGTCAAGACAAAAAACGAACCCTCCCCCAAGACCCGTTGGGCGAACCAGTACTTAAAAAAAAAAAAAACAGCCCCCCTCCCAGACCCGTTGGGCGAGTCAAGACAAAAAACGAACCCTCCCCCAAGACCGGTTGGGCGAACCAGTACTTAAGACCCGTTGGGTGAACCAGTACTTAAAAAAATCCCAGCCCCCCTCCCAGACCCGTTGGGCGAACCAGTATGACCCCCCCCGACCAGCCTCCCTCCCATTTGGATGGATCAGCATCAAAAAAAAAGTCTGCCTCCAGGCCGGCGTCCTCCGCATCTCTTCGGTCTGAATTCGTACTGGTTCGCCCAACGGGTCTGGCACGGTTCGGTTTTTTTTGCATGCTTATAGGAACCTATAGGAAATGGTAGGAACCCATAGGAAATGGTAGGAACCCATAGGAATGCGTAGGAAAATGCATAAGGTTCCTACAAGGTTCCTACCAATTCCTACCAGTTCCTAAAGGTTCCTACAAGCATGCAGCAATGCAAGCAAATCGAACTGCTCGCAGACCCGTTGCGCAAACCAGTACTAAACCAAACCCCTCAGACCCGTTGGGCAGACCAGTACCGAACCACTCCCCCTCGGCGAGCCTCCAAACAGGGGGCCATCCATGCTACCTGCAAAACGGTTGGGCTGACCAGTATCCCCCCACACCAGTTGGGCGGAACAGCAAAAAGAAAATCCACCCCAGGTACCCTTTTCGGAGGCCTCAAAAGCGTTCAAAATCACTCAAAAAACAAGCAAAAGCGTGCAAAAACAATCAAGCCAAAACAAGCAAAAACTGTCAAAAACGAGCAAAAAGCCAACCAGCGGAAGGGTGCAATCAGGGTGCAATTAGGGTGCAATTAGGGTGCAATCAGGGTGCAAAAGGGTGCAATCCAAAAATCGTGCAAAAACAGGCAAAAACGGGCAAAGTTGGGCGAGCCAGTATCAAACGCGGGTTGGGCGAACCAGTATCAAACGCGGGTTGGGCGGACCAGTATCACATTTTTGGACGCCGGCGCCGGCCCAACCCGCCGAAGATTGCCCGGCCCAGGGAGCCCTGTCGAGTTTGTCAAGTCTGTCAAACCCAGTGCATCAAAAACAAGTCTGCCTCCAGGCCGGCGTCCTCCGCATCTCTTCGGTCTGAATTCGTACTGGTTCGCCCAACGGGTCTGGCACGGTTCGGTTTTTTTTTGCATGCTTATAGGAACCTATAGGAAATGGTAGGAACCCATAGGAAATGGTAGGAACCCATAGGAATGCGTAGGAAAATGCGTAAGGTTCCTACAAGGTTCCTACCAATTCCTACCAGTTCCTATAGGTTCCTACAAGCATGCAAGCAAATCGAACCGCTCCCAGACCCGTTGGGCGAACCAGTACTGAGCCAAACCCCCCAGACCCGTTGGGCAGACCAGTCGAGCCTCCAAACAGAGAACCATCCATGCTACCTGCAAAACGGTTGGGCCGACCAGTATCCCCCCACACCAGTTGGGCGGAACAGCAAAAAGAAAATCCACCCCAGGTACCCTCTTCGGAGGCCTCAAAAGCGTTCAAAATCACTCAAAAACAAGCAAAATCGTGCACTCAAGTCAAAACAAGCCAAAACAGTCAAAAACGAGCAAAAAGCCAACCAGCGGAAGGGTGCAATCAGGGTGCAATTAGGGTGCAATTAGGGTGCAATCAGGGTGCAAAAGGGTGCAATCCAAAAATCGTGCAAAAACACGAAAAAACAGGCAAAGTTGAGCGAGCCAGTATCAAACGTGGGTTGGGCGAGCCAGTATCGAGCGCGGGTTGGCGGACCAGTATCAAGCCCCCAGCGGGTTGGGCGGACCAGTATCAAGCCCAACCCGTGGGGTGTCAAAATCTCAAGAAAAACTTACTGTCGTTCAACTTCGTTTTTGACGGCAGATGACAGTGCCAAAACAACTGGCAAAATCTTCACATTGTTCGACGCCGGCGCCGTCCCAACCCGCCGAAGATTGCCCGGCCTCGGCACCGTCCCCGCTCGGGAGACACCCCTGGACCATCGGTGGCCCTCAAAGCCGGCTAATTTAGTACCCTGTTTGGAGGCCTCAAAGCGTTCAAAATCACTCAAAAACAAGCAAAAACGTGCAAAAAAATGTGGACTCAAGCCAAAACAAGCAAAAAACATGCAAAAACGAGCAAAACCCAACCAGCGGAAGGGTGCAATCAGGGTGCAGTTAGGGTGCAATCAGGGTGCAATCAGGGCGCAAAAGGGTGCAACCCCAAAATCGTGCAAAAACAAGCAAAAACGGGCACAGTTGGGCGCGTGTCAAACGCGGGGTTGGGCGAGCCAGTATCAAGCCGGAACGGGTTGGGCGAGCCAGTGATCCTACATGCCCGCCCGGCACCGTGCCCGCTCCGCACGTCCTACCGTACAGTCAAAAAAAAAACGCCCCCAGCGCCAGACCCGGACCCGTGCTTCCTCGCCAGGATGGTCCGGCCTCACACACTCGGCAAGCCTGACAGGGAAAAACTTCGGGGGTGAACCACATGCCGACTTAAAGCAAAAATCATGCAAAATCTTGCCGTGCCAAATTCAAGCAAAATCATGCGTTGCGCAACGCACAGCATGGTTCGGACGTAAGCTGACTGGCTCGGACATAAGCTGATTGGTTCGGACATAAGCTGACTGGTTCGGACATCCGCTGACTGGTTCGGACATAAGCTGACTGGTTCGGACATAAACTGGATGGTGTTTGCAGCTCGGTGAGGCACTACTCCAAACCGCTCAATTGTTTCAACCGCAAATCCAATATTGCTCCGGAACTGTATTTTCTAATTCCAAAAAAACATGATGGACTCAACAATATGTTTCCAAGTAAAACTCTTGACATTCACACTGTATTGACGCAAAACATTCATCTATGTTCATCTTGATTTCTCTTTTTGCCACCTCTTCTTCATAGCGTATCTGTGTCTGCAAACTCTGTATTGTTGACGTGCAAAATTCGGAGTACACTTCATCCATCTTGCAGAAAAAGAGTTCACAGAACTCTGTGCTGGCTGTGCTGGGTGAAACTTGACTGCTTCAATCCGAGTGGGGTTGGTCTTACAACATCAATTGTTCTGCTTTTGCCATGTTCATGCTCAAGCAAAAGCATCGTCTGCCAACCACCCCTGCGAATGTGTATCGAAACGCGCTGTTCTGAGTGAAACTTGAAACTTGAAGTGCAAAGTGCAAGAAACCATATTGCTATGGTACAAGATAGCCGTAAGCCTTGTCTTTGGTCCTACCTCCTGTGACTTGGGCGTCGGGTTCTTCCTCCTGCCACGTGCCTTCGGTGAGGTGGTAGACGGTGAGAGTGTGAGCAGGCGGTTGCAACTGCGCCTTCTCCTTGATGACCTCCTTCAGGAAGCCGATGTTCTTCGGCACAGGCTCGGTTGGAAGGGCATTGCCCACCAGCTTGTACTCGCCGTTCTCCTCCTTCAACTCTCGCACCCAGACCATCTCTGTCTTCGCAGGCTGACCTTGGCTCTTGCAACTGACAACCCATGAACTGAATGAAAAAACTGGCATATCCCCTCAAAAAACGGGCAAAACACCGGAAGACCGACAAAACAAGGCGGCGCAAAGCAAGTGCAAGGGGCTGGTCTCAGCTTTTGGAGACAGGTTGATGCTCTTGAGCGACTGCACGCTGTGGAGCTCAGGTTTGCCATCGTCTTTGAGCACCAACCTTCTTGCCACAAGGTCGCAGTCCACGTTGCAGGTGTTGATGCCTTCGATGCCCTCACTCTTGACGTGGACAGTGTACGCGGTGTGGGCGATGTTGGGGACTAAGCCTATCAGTTGAACCTTACCGGCTTTAGTGTTTTTCAAGGTCTTGAGCATCTTGTCGCTGTCGTTGCCGATGATGTAGAGACCCTGGTGCTTGGCGTTCTTGTAGTTGACCATGTTGTTGAAGCGCTGAAGGTGCTGATTGATTTGTCCCTGCCCGCGGACATGCATCACACCCTCCAAGACAAAAGTCTCCTTCTCGATCTGCACGGCGCAATCGGGCTTGCCTTCACCAGTACATGAGCTGTGGAATTCGAGGGCACGGTAGTTCAACTTCTTCCATATTGCCTGAAAGCACTGGTTGTACTGGACTTCGTGAGGTAGCCGCTTTCTTGACAATGAGGAACACACCACTTCGGCAAAGAACGCGTAGGGTAGGGCTCGCAGCAATAAATCAGCACAATGTTGGGGATTGCTGGGCTCAAGCTGAACCTCTAAACCGCATTCCTTCGCCAGAACGAAGCGGTAATACGAGGCCAGTAGAGGGTTTGCCACTTGGTATGTCATGTGTGCGTTGTTCCAATCTTTGGGAAGTACAAAGCCGTTGATGGTAAGCTCTCTCCGAACGTCCGCTTTTGCGATGCTGGTTGCCCCTTTGCACAGCAGCTCTGCAAACTCCCGAGGTTTTGTTGTTCAAGAGCGTTGAACCTACCATTGATACGCACTGCACGACTCTGTCTCACAAACGCTAAAATCTCTGTGCCAGTTTTCCAATCCCCATTGCCATAGCTGCAGCGCACAAGCTCCACAGTCCTGTCGAATTCCCAGCCTTCACCGTTCTGCATGCTCTTCACCCAGTGCATCGCAGCGATGAAAATGCCGCGATGCCCACCATCAAAAGAGGGCGAAGAACTCGATGCTCTTCTGGTCCAGCTTGATGCCACTGTCCTCCAGCTGTGTCTTCAGCTCTGGGGTGAAGGGCAGCGGTGGTGTCCACATGAATTCTGGGTGATTTCATTGGGTGTTGCCTGGGAGACGTTTGATGCAGTTGCAGCATCACCTGAAGCTGAGAACAGCAAGACCCGTGGTCGATAGTCTGTGTCTGATTTGAACAGGTCTGCGCACAGAGTGCCTGAGGAAAACAGCGTGTGAGCTTCATCAAAGATGAGGGTCAAGTTCTTTTCCTTGGCTCGCCTCAGCGCATTCGTGAAGGCTGAACCATCTCCGTCAACTTTGCCTGTTGCCTTTTGCACGGCTTCCACTGTACGCGCCCTCCAAGCATCGGCATTACCATGTTCAGTGAAGGGCACATTTACATATTTCTCAAAAAAGCGCGCCAAATGCTTCGTGAGTGCGGTCTTGCCGATGGCGACGCCGCCGCGGATGAATACAACACTATGTCCGCATTCAAACAGCTCGCCAACCTTCTCAGCATATCCCTGTAAAGAAATGAAAACATGTTGCTGTCCATCAGCAACTTCTCCAATGGGCGGCAGTGTTCGCAGCTTCTTAGCTGCAGGTTTTTCTCCATCGCCTGCAAGTCGCTTCATGGCAGGGGTCAGCACAAGTGTCTCGCAATTTGGGTGCTGAATGTGTGCATGATAGTATGGCAAATAGCAAATAGCCTGGGTGCAAAAAGTGCATTGTATCTCATGAAGGCTGCGGCTGACTGCTGGAGTGACGAACATCAACTCAGTGGGTTTGCGCCAACACCTGCAGCAATGGACACATCGGCTCTCATGCCTTCAAGCACCTGCACAACGCGAAAGACTTACCGTCTAGTAATGCCTGCCCACGAAAGCAAAAATCCACACGAAAAAACTCACATTGACAATGGCATTGGTCACAACGCAAGAAAATCGAAAAGATAAAATCCCGCCACAAAGCTTCCAGCATACCAACTTCAGAACACAGCTTAGAACAAGCGCCAGAACCACTGACGCCCACTAAGGGAAGCATTCCCCAAACGTTCAACACAACCCCGGAAAAGTGTCAACCATCACAGCTGCAATACAAGCCCAAGAAGGTACAATCAAAAAAGTTAAGGCATGTCGCACTGCTCCTAGCTTGAACCCAAACATGAAACCTCAAAAGAACAAAGCTCGTCCGAAGCGGCCGCAGTTCTTTTTACCGGGATTGCTGAAAGTTGCACTGCTTCCAGGGCACTAGTGCGCCTGGAGCAGGAGGCACATTGACCCCCCGAAATGTGAAAAGGCAAGACAATGCGTGTCCTTGCGTGTAAATGCAGTGCTTGGGGGGCGCGGCATGCGTGCCCACGCCCCAAGGTCCGGAGACCGAAAGTCCGGAGACTCGAGGTCCGGAGACCGAATTTGGTCTGGAGACCTGGTCCGCAAACCAAAGTGCCCGGAGACAACCCATGAAAGTGCAGAGAAACTGCTATCTATCCTGGCAAAGCCTGGCATAGGGCAGTGCAGGGCGGGTGGGTGGGTTTCAGAAATGAAACCGCAGGTTTGGGTCAAGGCCAGGAGCAAAACGGCCAACGCATAGTTCGATTCACCACATGCCCTAAACACAAGGGAAAAGAAACCCTAAGCGTTAAGGCATGTCGCACTGCTCCTAGCTTGAACCCAAACATGAAACCTCAAAGAACAAAGCTCGTCCGAAGCGGCCGCAGTTCTTTTCACCGGGATTGCTGAAAGTTGCACTGCTTCCAGGGCACTAGTGCGCCTGGAGCAGGAGGCACATTGACCCCCCCTTCAGTGTTTCAGTCAACCCCGGTAAAAGCGGACCAGCTGGGCCGAAGGCCTCATCACCCGCCCTTCAGAGTGGGGTTGTACCTGGCAGGGCATATGCTAGCGTCACCATGCACGCTGGGCTGTGAGCAGCTTGGCACGCGGTGACTGCACTTTTTTCCGGTCAGAGCGGCTTGAGTAAGCGGCTGGCTGACATCGCCAGTTGTCTGGCTGACAGGGCAACGGCGGATATTGGGTCAGAAGGCCATGTCGGATGCAAGCTAGGCTGGTGCAGCGGTGTGTGCGACCTTCAGGGCGCTGGCTGAAGCGGGCCAAAGGATTTCTGCTGAGATCGTCCGCCCAATCATTGCACCTTCCTGGAACGTGCGTTGGCTGCAGCAGCACATTGTGAGCGTGAGCCCAGAAGGCTGTTAATTGCACAAAAAGTTGCAACGGCCAGGAGGTCGTGAACAGTTTGTTAAGGCTTGCTTCCGTGGCGGAATTGTCTGTGCCGGAAGGCATGCTAAACGAGTAGTGCCCACCACCAATGTGGCTGTGGGTTGCTTGCAGCAGTGCTAACTGAGCAAGAGTTTCAAAGCATGCGATGTACCGCTGTCCTGGCTTGACAAGGCAAGGCCACACGGCTCTTATGTCTTGCATGTTCCAGGTCTCGGCGAACCACACCACTTGGGAGGATGTGATTGCCCAGCCCCCAATCCCCACCATATCATCTTCGGCACACGCGTCGGCGGCAGCCAGAGCTTGCAGCTGGTGTGGCAAAGGCTGAATAGGCGAGTGTCGCAAGCACGACGCCAGCCAAGTAAGGCACTGTTGGCTTGACTTGGAAAGGCTGGTGTATGGGTTGTTGGGGTCCGCGATGCGCACCCATGTGGGCTTGCTAGTGCCAGGCACTTGCGGGATGTCTTGCGCAGCCTGAAATTTCCAAGATTTTGGAGCCCACTGTGATCCACAAGCCCGGGAGGCTATGGCTAGTTTTGAGGTCCTTAGTCAAGGATGCTCTCTAGAACTGACCACATTTGCGGCGGTATTGAGTGCATGGAGCCTGGTGGGCTGTTGAGGTCCGCGTACAGCGGTGCTAGCCAGGACCTGAGGTGTAGGGCAATGCTGGTGGCCCAAATAAGCAGGCCTATGCACTGCTCGAGCGTTTTGCGGGGCACACGTCGATTTCCCAAAAGGGATTTGATCAAGGCGTCCAGCTTGGCTAGCTTAGCGGACACGAGCTGAATGGTGTCGTGAGAGAAGTTGATCTCCCAACCGCACCAAACCAGGCTATCCTGGAATTGCGCCTTTTTCCACGAAATGGGTGCTGCAATGGCACAAAAGAAGAGCACCACCAAGGCAAACATGTCTGGCGCGCTATCCCGGAAGAGTGCACAGAGCAGGTCATCCACAAAGAGGAAGGCTTTGTGTGGCTTCCAGGCTAGCAACCCATGCGCCTGACGAAGCAAGAATGCGCCGGTGCGCTGCCACCAGAAAGCCGAGAAACGGCCCCCAAAATGGCACACCCTGTAGTGGTAGAGCTTCCCTTGAAAGGCGAAGAGTAGAAGGCCATGCTCTTCCGGGCGGACCTGCACTTGTTTGTGTGCGGCTTTAAAGTCAACGCTGGCGCCTATGAAGGCGCCTGGAGTGTCTTCTGGCTGCGTGGACAGCGCCAAATCAGATGCCATTGGCAAGCTAAGGCGCTCTGGCAAATGGCATCTGGTATTGACTTAGCACACGGTGCTATCCAAGACAAGGCGCGGCTCTTTGCCTTCGGCGAACACGACATTTAGCTTGCCCACGGCAATGCCTAAGGGCCATTTTTCCCGAGCGTCGGCTATGCTAAGGCTGGTTTCAACAATCCAGTTGTTGGCAATTTCATTGCGCAGCAAGCCTTGCACGGTTTCTGGCTCGTCTTCGGCCATCTTCCAGTTGCCTTCACAAACTTCCAGATCCGGCGGCAGCATGGAGTCTGGCTTCTTTGCTGGCCATTGAAGGCTTGGTGGCAAGGCTGATACGGCTGCAGCAAATGGAGTCGGTATGGCTGTCCTGCCTCGGGGCTCATATCTGAAGGGCAGGGCAGTTTTAAAGCGGTATACGCTAGAGTTGCCACTTCCAGGCTTTCGGAGGGCGAGAGTGGGCAGTCCGAAGAACCGCTTTTGATGCATCCAGTGCAGCCAGGGTCTGGCGACTGCCTGCAGCGGGTGTTCGGGTTTGGGGAGACCAATCTGCGGATGAGTGCATTCCTGCTCCATCGCAGGTGGGGAGCCTGCAAGGCGCCAAAGTGACGGTTCTAGGGGAGTTGGAGCGCAGTGGCAGTGCTTGCCGGAAGGAGCCTGTTTTACTTACCCTTCCTACGCCTATTTGGGCCAATTGCAGGGCCAGGGAAGGGGGGTATTCTGCAGTTAGCGTGCTGAGGTATACCCCTTGGTCCTTCACGCCTGCAATGCTTTGATGCTTGTGTGAGTGATTGCAGCGGGCCTGCAGGGCCTGTGCTTTCGAACTGTTGCTGCCGAATGCCCATGACTTAGCGAAGGCTTTGTCGTGCATGCAGGCGTCTACCCACACAAGGGCACACTGGTGATCGCGTAGCATTTGGAAGTTAGCCTCTTCCAACCAGGACATGGCTGATGGTGGCTGCTCCAAATGCTCACGCCCCCTTTGGAGACCACTGCTCTGAACAGGGCTCTACCGCGGTCGTGGATGGTTTTGCTATCCAGCAATTTTTTACGCTGTGCAGGCGAAAGGCCGGGGACCCTTGGGCCCGCCCGGGCGAAGTTTGAGTCTGGAGTATTCTTTGCAAGGCGGGGCAAGCATGATCAGGGCCACGATTCCTGACCAGCAGAGTCTGAGGAGTGCCTCGAAGACTCTGTCATCCAGGATGTTGTGCGCAGTATCACCATCCAGGTCAAAAGGCTCAAAGCAGTCAAGGCCAAGGCTAATGGCGGCCGACGTCACTGGGTGCAGCCTACCTGCAAACACGTCCAAAAAGAGCCGCTTTGAGGCTGGATGCAACTGTGAGTCCGATGAGCTTGCCCGGGCGGGCGCATGTGGCTTTGGCCTAGGGCTGGGTTCGCTACGGTGCGCGGAAGGCAAGGCTGGCGTCAGGGCCGTTTGCCCTGGCCCCTGCGAGGGTGAGCACGGTTCATGAGTCCCGTCGTGGGGCAAGGCCGGCGGAGGCATTGTCGATCCTGCGCCGGTCCAAGATCCGGGCTGTTTCACGTGTGTTTATTGCGATCCATGGCAGGATGCTTTTGCTGGCAGCCTACTATGGCACACACGTGGGCGAAAGGGCAGTGGTCATTAGTGCAACTGCCCGTCTGGTAGCGCCGGCAAACCTCTCTACCTTTATATGTAGTACACCAATCTGCCTTGGGCTTTGGCGAAGGCGAGGCTCCTTTGGATTTGCGCATTTTTGGGCGCAATTGTAGAAGGCTGTGCACATCGTTTCTCATGTGCGTCAGTTCGTACAAGGCATCATCTAGGGACCATTGCTGCCCCAGAAGGTCGGATATGGCTGCCCAGAGCTTGCGATCGGCTGACAGAAGCTCTTGGGTATTCACCGTGCGAAGGCCTAGGTTTGGATCTGGCTGTGCGAGACACAGCTATCTTCTTGTCGAAGGCCTTGAGGTTCGACAGGCGCGCTGCTTGGCACAGGGCTAGGGCATTGCGAAACACGGTCTGGATACGGGTGAGCCATCCCGCTGCCAGACACTTCTGGCGCGTCGAAGGCCTGACTCAGGAGCTGCAACTCCGAGCGAACTGCTCGGGCCGACTTTGCTTCCATGCGTTCCTGGTATTGCCGTGATGAGAGGCAATACTGCCAGGGCACCCACTC